CGCAGTATCGGGGATGCACGAGCCGCAGTTTCACGCTGGAAACTGCGCGTTTTCCGGTCTCAGGCGTAGGCGCGCAGGTGGGCCGAGGGCCACGTAAGCAGGTACAGTTAGCCCGCCCACACCTGCGAGGACCGAGTGGTCGCGTTTTCACCGTTGTTAAGCTGGTCACTCCGCACGAGGGTGTTTCTCGCGCGCCGCAGCTCGATCGAACAGAATGGAGCCGAAAGAGAGGCGCGCGCTGATTGGCTGGCGCGCGCAATGGGCGGAGCACAGTGGCGCAGCGCGCGCTCATTTGCATCTTGTCACCGGAGTGCTCTCGATATAAAGTTGTGTTTGTCCAGGGTCAACTCTAATAGTTTGTGTGTGCGTTAGAATACAGACTGTGTTGTACAACAGTGCTTGAGTGTAAAATACGACAGAGAGCCGTGTCTAGTTGTCGGGCAGCAGCAGCGGCAGCAGCTACGACGTTCGACTCCGACCGGCATGCTAACACACCGTCCCTACTCGCCAACATCGACGATGAACGCCATGCAAAACATCAATTCCGTGCAGCCGATGACTTCCATGTCGAACATGAGTAGCGCGTCGTACAATCCGCAGGGCTACGCGCCGTCGGCGCACATCGGCAGCGGTATGGGAGGCATAGGAGCGATGAACGGAATAGGTATGAACGCGAGCTACATGAACATGGGTACGCAGCAGTACCAGAGAGACTCGATGACGAGCCTCACGCCCTACAGTCCGATGGGACACACGATGGGCTCAATGAATCAGATGCCGCAGATGGGCGGCATGCAGCCGACAGGAGGATACCCGACCCTCACCGCATCGGGGATGGAGCCCGTCGGTGCGAGCGAACTGGCAAGAGCGAGGGAGAAGACCTACCGTCGCGCCTACACGCACGCCAAGCCGCCGTACTCCTACATCTCTTTGATCACGATGGCGATTCAGCAGTCACCGAGTAAGTCTCTCACGTTGAGCGAAATCTATCAGTTTATCATGGATCTGTTTCCGTTCTACCGCCAGAATCAGCAGCGCTGGCAGAACTCGATCCGCCACAGTCTATCGTTCAACGACTGCTTCATCAAGGTGCCGCGCACGCCCGACAAGCCGGGCAAGGGCAGCTTCTGGGCGCTGCACAACGACGCGGGCAACATGTTCGAGAACGGCTGCTACCTGCGGCGACAGAAGCGCTTCAAGTGCGAAAAGAAGGACGGAGATCGCAAGCCGGGCAAGTCCGGCCACGTGAAGACGGAGCGGCATCACGGCGGCCAGGGCGGGGCCGGAGAGAACGCGGCCGGCGGTCAAGCGGTCAACAACTCGACGTCGTCGACGGCGCCCAGCAACACGACGCTGACGACGCTCGACTCGACTCCGGCCAGCATGGGCAGTGTCCAAACGAAGCTGGAGCCCGATCTCCGCGTCAGTCCTCGCGGCTATCAGGAAATGCACACGTCGACGAGTATACCGGCGCGTATGCTCGAGCAGCACAACCCGCACGTCGGCACGCACGCACAGCACTTGCAGCACGCACACGCCCACGCCAGCCCGCGGGGCATGGAGCGCATGGACGAGTCTCATCACCAGCATCACACGGCCATGTCGCTGTCGCCGTCCGACTATAAGGGCATTCATCCCAATTTCACGCACCCGTTCAGTATCAACAACATAATCTCGCAGGAGGGCAAGTACGAGAATTTGCCGCCGTATTCTGGCTACGGATCGCTCGGAACTCTGTCTAACATCAAGGGCGAGGCGCAGAACATGATGACCGGCATGCATTCTGCCGACCCGGGCGGTTACTACCTGCACGGCGGATACGCGACGCACTCGGCAGCGAACCTGTGAGCGCTAGCAACGGGACTCGAACAGTGAGGTCATACGTGTAACTATATGCGGCTTGGAACTCTCGTGTCAGTCGTGTAAGCTCCAGTGTGCGTGTGCGCGCAGAGTCGATCGCATTCGCAGCGACATGGACTCGGTTTGAAGAGATTCCGAAGTGCGCCTATATAGATACTACCGGGTCAAATCTGTGAGCTTTGTTTATATTTATTACTTGTGAAGTGACGTTGAAAATAATGTGTAGGCCTGTTTTTGTACGGGACAGTTTTGCTTTCGGTAGCAGCGTATAAACGTGTCCGTACTTTGCATTGTGCCGAGTGCTCTATTCTCTTTCCATTAGTGTTGTAAATACGTGACATTCAGCATAAGATTAGTGCCATATCATTCGACGGCAACCAGAAGTTTACTCCGAAACGCCAGAACTCTGAATCAAGAAAGACCTCAGTGAATTTACAATCGGCTGGGCATGCTTCATTTCCGCCTCTCCGTTTCGCTATTATATATGGTTTTCGTTCTCGATAGCGCGCATCTATCTGTAAATTCTACCGCGTCGCACTTTGGACCACAAGCTGGCGATAGCAGCAGCGTCTGTTAGTTCGACTTACATGAGCAGACGCCGCGGGATGTGACAAGCTCTGTGATTGGCTGCAGCTGATGGACAGGTGAGAGCGAGGCTTGAGTAGGTGTAGTGTAAGGGCGTTACCGTTGATGCCATAGCCTGTGGCGCTGCAGCTCATTTGCATACCAAAGCAGAGGGCGGGGCTCTCGAATTTAATCGTATTTGCGAAGGGTCAACTATGATCGTTTGTATTTGAGTTCTCGGGTTGGAGAATACAGCATGCTCGCATCCGTACGCTGTCTAAACCCACGTCTGCCGGAAAATTCACGCCGAACCGCGTCCAGCGCGTTGTCGCAAGCTTCGTATTTCGGACTGCGGGAATAACCGTCGCTGCTGCCGTGTGCTAAACACTAGCATGAGCGGCTCGCTGTCGCATAGGCCATACTCGCCGGCGTCGACGATGAGCGTTATGTCGAACTATAGCGGATCCGTTCCATCGATGTCGATGGCTAACATGACGAACGCGGGATACACGCCGCAGGGCTACAGCCCCAGCTCGAATATGACTGCCGGCATGGGAAGTATGAACACTCTCGGGATGGGAGGAGGTTACATGAACATGAACGGTCAGCAGTATCAGCCGAATGCGATGGGCTTGCCTCCCTATCAGCATATGAATAATGTGAACATGCCGGCGACCATGGCCGGACACTGTATGCAATCGCCTCCGACGTCGTACAACAATCTCAGTGTTTCGCCAGTGCCGGAGGATGCTGGAGGCGGCCCGATGCGAAATCGCAGCGAGAAGGGCTACCGTCGCGCCTACACGCATGCCAAGCCGCCCTACTCCTACATCTCTCTGATCACGATGGCCATTCAGCAGTCAGCCAACAAGTGTCTTACGCTGAACGAGGTCTATCAGTTCATCATGGATCTGTTTCCGTTCTACCGCCAGAATCAGCAACGCTGGCAGAACTCGATCCGCCACAGTCTATCGTTCAACGACTGCTTCGTTAAGGTGCCGCGCACGCCCGACAAGCCGGGCAAGGGCAGCTTCTGGACGCTGCACCCGGACTCAGGCAATATGTTCGAAAACGGCTGCTACCTGCGCCGCCAAAAACGCTTCAAGTGCCGAGAACAGGACGTAAACAAGGCGAAAAAGTCAAAGAAAACCAAAGATGCTTCCGTCGCCGACACAAACGGACAGATATCGAGTCCCGGCGGAATCAGCGACGGCGGCGGCAGCGGCGGTGTCGGTGCGAGTCCATCAGCAGGTACTATGACAATCAACAACAACACCTCCGCCGTTTCCAGCGCCTCAACGTCGTCCTCGGTTGCCAACAGTCTCGGCTCGTCGGTTGACCGCAGAGACAACCACGCGACGGCCGCCGCCCTCGCGCAGCCGAAAGCCGAGCCTCCCGACAACCGCATGAGTCCGCGCGGCGGCCCCCCCAACTATCAGGAGGCGAAGTTCCAAGAGCTGCACACGACGTCGGCGATGTCGGTGCGCTCGCCGATGGAGAGCATGCACCCCGTCCAGCTAGCGGCGTCGCGGCACGTCGCCGAGTCGCCCTACCACCACCAGATGCACCACCACCAGTCGATGGAGCTCTACAAGTCGGCCCACCAGCAGCAGAACTTCACGCATCCGTTCTCGATCAACAGCATCATTTCGCACGAGCATGGCGACGGCAAGTACGAGAATATGCCGCCGTTCTCGCAATACAGCACTCTGTCGACGCTGACGAGCGTCAAAGACTCCAGTATGGTACCGATGGACTATAACAGCTACTATCACGGCGGGTACGCGACGCACAGCAATGTGAGTAGCCTATAATGCCGATAGCGAACCCTCCCGTGCGCGTTCCAACGTGAACGCGGGGTATAGTCGCGACAGATACACCCCCGCGAGAATTCGTGCGGCTACCGTGGTCTTTGTAACTCCCTGACTTGTTAAGAATTTCCATCCGAAGATGCTGTACATCCAAAGTGGTCAAACTAGTGCGAGTTAATTGGATTTTGACAGTTTTCCGTTCAGAAAAGAAGAATTTAATTTTCCTGGTTAAATCAATAGAGTTGATATTAGGTCAGGAAGGAGAGAAAAGCCGCGTATTCTATGATTAAGAATCTTAATCATCTGATGAGAAGCGACGGATGGGCTGTAAGGAAAAAAATCGAGTATGATTTTAAGTGGTTCTTCAAACCGGACCCTCGTTCAGCTTTAACTCAGGAACTAAACAGCAGTTAAACAGCACATGAAGTTGTGTTCCTCCACCCTATGTATACATACTGCGTGCTATGGAGTCTGGTATTATATATACGGTATGTAAATAAGTTCAGCGTTTTACTTCGAGTATTTCCAGCTAATTTTAATACGTAGAAAGAAATATTACTGTCTAGATTGATTCGTTGTTCTAAATATGCATTATAATATATTATAGTCACGATTTTGTAAAGAAATTGTCTCTGCATGTGATTCCATGAGAAATTTGTTGTTATTATATATAGAGTGGAACGCTTGCGCTTTAAATTGTGTTTTGTGATCATATGGAGAATAGCGAGATGGCGATGCGTGAACTACGTAAAATTAATACAGATAAAATTCGCAGCAAATTATTTTTCATTGGAATAGATTTCCAACTTTCTTCGTATTATCAGAAATCGTTGTTCTGTGGATTTTCTAAATGCTGGTTGTATTATCAAGCGCATATATAGTGTGGTCTCCAGCGGCTAGTATGTCAGCGTGCGCGCAAACAATCGGCCGTTAAATATAATATTCGCGAAACAAAACCTAATCAATTGAAAATTGTATAATTAATATATGCGACCGTCTCGGTATAAGATAGACAAGTTGCCTGTGAAATATACTTTTACGCGAGAGTATTCGAATTTGTATTAACTGAAATACGTTGTGTCGACGCATGCGATGAATTTAGCTGTCGAGTGTTTTTATTATTCACGTTTTCTGTTGCGCTCGATGAGGTTTAGTTAATTATGCGTTGTCATATGTTATTTTTCAGTTCTGCAATTTGAAAATGTTTAAAATACAAGCAATAATTTGAAAAAAAACCTTGTGTTATGTTGTGTTTACGCTGTTTGCAGTATATTGAGCGTCGGCGATGCCGGGTTCCCGTATGGATTGCCCCCCAAATTAATTAACTATTGTGCACATTTCATTTCATTGTGATTTGAGCGCTGGGTTACACAAACATCGATGAAAATAATTTTTAATTAAAAAAACGGACGAACATCCGTATACTCGCGGCAATGTCAGGAATATCCTACAAGTTTCCACGAATGCTAGAGCGGACACGAATTCAAATGAAATTGTGAGTAATTTCACAACCGTTTAATATAAATAGAAAATTAATTGCTATTGTTGGAGGTGCGAGCCTTCGTTCGATCGCCCGTTTATACGAAACAACACACTACCCGAACTTAGAGAGTCCAAATTAGCCAGGATCGCGTATAGACACGCAAGCAATATATTATACACTGCGCGTGTAATTTCTGACGGCGATATGCAAAGTGTGCGGGCGCACCATCGAAGGAATATAGACTCGAGGAATCTGGCAAGTAAGTGAGAGCTGCGCGCAGACGTGTCGGTTATAGTGGTGCAGAGCTGGCGTATGAATGCGAACTACATGTAAATATAAATCCATGTAAAATGTGAAACGCATAATTCCACGGCACGCACGAACCAAGCTAGCACATGTACTATAACGATGGGTGTGCAATCGGAGGCCGTTATATGCGAACAAAAATTTTATATATATATATATATATATATATAACATACACACACACACACACACACACACACACACACACACACACACACACACACACACACACACACACACACACACCACACACACACACACCACACACACCACACACACACATATATATATATATATTAATATATATATATATATATATATACAATATATATATCTATATATATATATATAAGCCGTGACACACGCCACAGACACACATAATACGGAGGCAGATCTAGTGATCGTAAAGGGGTTGTTGCTTCCGTAGTAATATATAGCACTTGCCGATACCGGCGAGACTGCAGAAGACCTGCACTGCGCTATTGATCGGGTCCTGTTTCCATGAGAAAGCCAAAGTTATGCACATTTTACATCGATGCGCATAATTTTTTGTTTGAATTTGATCACGCGGTTCTGAACTCGTCATCTCTTCCCCGCTATTGTCGAAGTTGAATCCTGGCCGATATTCGTGGCCGTACACGTTTTTAGCGCGGCAATAGGTAGAGGAGATAGGAACCGCCAGCAAACGTACAAAAGCGGCTCGCCGAACATACTCTGCATTCCGTACGTGCGTGCTGCTTGTGCGAAAATGCTTATGTAATTTCTAAAACGAGGCATTGCAACGGCGTCTTCGACATAGCAATCACCTCGACGTACATTGCAACACGCCACTTAGTGGGACTCACTATATATATATATATATATATATTATATATAAATTTCCTATATTCATCAAGGATCACATATTATTTACTGTACCGAAAATGTACAACAACAACAAAATATATAAGTAGCAATTCTCACAGTAAATAATAAACGTTTTCTATTATAAATTTTATAGCAGCTGTTCACTCGAAAACGCGCGTTCAAATTTTATGAATAATTTTTTATTCAACTCTAAGACGACAGTCTCACCCGTCGCATGCCAGGCATGCGGGGTATACTACCACAAGCGCGCAGCGTTATACTGCCACGTTATATGGCCGGGAACAGAATGCGTGCGCGCGCACCTCTGTATACGAAGACAACGAGTCAGGGAGAGCTGTCGTAAACCCGCACACGGAGAGCGCGCGTCCACCTTCGACGGTTCTAATACGCTCCGCTGTCACGCGTCGTTCTGCGAAATCATCGCCACCCGAAGATGTGCGGACGCCTCGCCTTTAGTTTCTCTCCGACGTGGAGCCAACGTATCTCTGCACGCTATGCACTGGTGTTAAAAATACATAGTCGGTTTTTCTTAGTGGCTTATTAGAGGTTATTGAATTTAATAATTATTTATAATAAAATTAATAATAAATTAAATAAATATATATATATATATATTGCATGTGTGTGTGTGTGTGCATGTGCATGTGTGTGTGTGTGTGTGTGTGTGTGTGGTTGTTTGTGGTGCGTCGTGTGTGGTGGTGCCCGCGTGTGTGTGTGCGTGTGTATGCGCGCGCGTGTGTGTGTGTGTGAATAATTTCATTAAAATAATGAATATTATGACGAAAATCAAATTTATAAACTATTATTCACCGTATGAAATTATTATTCAATGAAACGTCAGAGTACTTGTCAATCTCCAGGAATGCCAGTTGGCGTACTATACAATGTGCATGTACGCCTATCTGTTACGAAAGCATATCTGTTGTTCACTTTAAATGATTGATATCACACATGTACGCATAGGTTATACACGTGCACACGCACACACCACAACACACACACACACACACACACACACACACACACACACACACACGCACACACACACACACATTCAAAAACCTAATCTTAAATCTAATACGCGACCGCGAATTATATATCAAGGTTTTGATTTGAACAGTTTGCATCAGAGAATTATTAACCATATATGTGATCTCCAGATATCTAATATCGTAATGTTAACTAGGTGGGAGGCGAGACGTACACACATACACGCATACGCCGTGCGCCACAGCACGCACGCACGTACAACCCCCCCCCCCACACACACATATAATATATATAATATTATATATATTATAGGCATATATATCTGCCAAAACTAAATTAATCTATATTAATACGTAAGATGCTGGAGAATATTCCATCGCCAATCGAACAAAAAATATTCCACTCCAATCGCAACGTATAAATTTACTAAATACAATTTAACTGCATGTGGGATACATAGACATACACAATATCTAGGCCTATACACGGGCCGTGTAACACGCGTGTGTTCTATATGACCTATCCGCTTTCGTTATAAAATCTTGTTACGGCGAGTGCGTGTGTTTATTACTAAACGACTGTTAATATATTCCGCCAGCGAGCAAAACTGCTTGAATGGGATCAACATGTACCAGTCGGCGACTCAAGGTGGGCTGAAAATCAGCCGATTCGCCCCGACTTACAGTGGCAAGCCGCGAAAACGCACACATATAAAGCGTAAAATAAACAAGCGTTCTGATGACATAAGTTAATTTACTTTCATTTCAAAAAGTCACATCGTCGTGCGGCTAGATAAACTCGAAAACACACAGATTTAACCACTAAAGCGCCCATTAAACTCTAAACCAGCGAATCGTGTTTTGATTACATACTATCAATAACGGCCCGCTCCCGCGCCCGGTGACCTCCCAACCCTGTAAAATAAGGCGAAAATACACACGTAATCTACACGTAATATATATACCTGCCGCGGCTGCGTTGTGTATGGTGTGTGTGTGTGTGTGTCTGTGCCCCCGTGTTGGGTGTATGTGTGTGTGGGTGTGTGGTGTGTGCTGCGATGCGTCGTGTGCGTGCGTGCACGTGCGTGGGTTCTCCGCGCGCCGGCGCGCGTTGCTGTGCCCTGCTCATATGTGTGGTTTGTGTTGCCCCTGTGGATCTCACTCCCTGGTGCACGTTCGTGCTGCTGTTGGTTTTGTGTGTGGTTTTTTTTGCTTGTTTGTTCTTTGTGTTGGTGTGTGTGTGTGTTTCTGTTGTTGTGGTGTCTTTTGTGTGTGCCGCCATGCTTCTCACAATGTTAGATAACTATGCTAGTCCTGTGTTCATAAGCTCTCTCGGATTCAATTGAAAGCTAAAGCCCTACCTCGGCCACTCTCTATTTAATTGGATGTAGCAAGGGAGAGAGGTTTGGGCCAAGAGAGCGAGCGATGAGCGCGCGTTTATGAGAGGTCATGCCGACAAGGAATAGACCTCTGTCTGTATAATCAAAATTTGAGCGGGCGCATATCGCAGTTTCTATGGTGGTACTTGCGGTGCTGAGATCGATGTCATGCTCGATCACCACACACCGCGCCCTGGCCCCCACCTCTGACAATGCCCCACACTTGCCACCGCCGCTCATACACGGTCTTGCGCCCGCGAAATATATCTGGCCCCGGCGTACCTCTGCGGGGCAGGCCGCCTCCTTTATTGAAAACGTATACTTCCATGTTGGTTATGAGAGCACCACGAAACTCTGGCAACCCGGTAACTTACTCTTGCACGATTAGAGAACGCGTTCTCATCTATTGTGTTACGTATAAACTGTTAGTTTGTTATACGTGTATGACAGTTAGCTGATATTATACTTAACAGTTTTGGGGGGAAAAACACATTGTAATATCAGTAGCGTCCTCTTTAATGACAGTATTTGTACACACATTTACTTATTGAAACTATTAACATGGTTAGTACATATATCCATTTATTACATTATACGATGTTTTTTTACATTATTATCATTATTACATTTATACATAACATCTTACATTTAACAGTATTACATATAAATAATACACCCTTATATCATTATACAGATATAAAAAATAAATAAATAAATAAAAATACAATAAATAATCTTTTT